AGAGAGAGAGAGAGAGAGAGAGAGAGAGAGAGAGAGAGAGATGCACGCGTGTGGTGACGTGCACGCACCGTGCACGCGCGCGCGCACGCACCTGCTGCGTTGCGAACGCTCTGACGCGCGTAGCTCGCCGCCTCTCCCTGCAGCTGTGTTCGCGCCTCACTGATGTTGCGCCGTTGGCACGCGCACGCCGCCATGAACGCCTCGCGATACTTCTTGTTCATGAAGCAGTAGGTGATCGGGTTCGTGCACGAGGACGTGTAGGAGAGCAACTGGACGAAGCTGTAGGCGAGCGCTGATATGGTTTTGGTGGCTCCGCCTGGGTCGACCACGCCCCACGTGTACGTGCAGTACAGCGGTCCCCAGCAGATGAAGAACTCGAGCACGACGACGAAGAGCATCTTGATGACGCGTCGCTTCGCGTTCAGATTCTTCTCCGTGTTCAGCTGCGACTTGCGCATGACGTGGCGCCCCCCGGCGGCGGTGGTTGGCGGCGGCGGCGGTGGCGCTGTCGTCGCGCCGCCGCGGCCATGATTGTTGACGGCGCCGTTGCGCAGTGACGTCACGCGGTCGTCGCGTCTGCAGTAGGCGTACGAATCTGTGAACGGAGAGAGGGGGGTGTTTACGCACGGAAGTCGAGTTGCGATGGTTGCGTGAAATGCGTGACTGCGTCATGTAAACGTAAATTATGTAAATCAACGTGAAATATTTTTAATACTTTGATATTTTAATATTTACGTTGAAAACTCTTTATATTTTCCGAAAATTCATCATAATAATTGATATTCATTTGATTCTTCTGACTACTTTTGCAGCTCTTGCGAAATACAAAAAAAAGAAGAAAAAAAGCATAAATAACGTTTAGCGACGTTGTGTAGTGTAGGATAGTACAGGGAGCGTTATAAGAAGCGACGAGTGGGCGTAATAAGAAGAATATTGCCCTAACCACTTGTAGCTGTTAGAAAAAGCGTGAGTTTTGAAGTCGATTTATTTTTATTGATTTTACACTCAAATTTTCCCTTAGACTCGTAACATTGCGGTGAAGAATATTATAACAGTATCTACTTAATCGTAGTCTAGAGATTTGCCCGAATTTTACGATCGTTTTCGCGAAATTAGCATAGGGTAATTAGTTTTGCACTGACATCATTACCATTTGCTCGTTTTTTTTAGTTAATTTTAACCTGATTTCTTTTCGTGTGCAACTCGATAGTCTGCCCTGAACACGGAATCTCCATTATAGATGACACCACTTTTACGGTCTCTACGGTCATCGCTATACAGCGGCGCGTAATGGAGTCGCTCTCTCAATTAGAGACACTTGCCAGTTTTCTGTGATAGCGTGAACGCTCGGGGGAGCGGGTTACTGTAACTCAGGAGGGAGAATGGAAGAATGTTTCTTCGTCGGATAGCAAAGAGAGATCGCTTCGGAAATACGAACAGTTTTCTCTTTTTAAAACAAACGATTCGATCGACGTTTGTCGTGCGATGTAAGTGTTAGTACAAACACGCGCGTAATATGTGATGGAAATGACTGTGTGAGTTAACTAATTAAGTAATAAGTAATTAATTAAGTAAATTAAGACGATATGAGAGAGAGGTGGGTGTGAGTGAGTGAGAGAGGAGAGAGAAGATAGGGAGTGAGAGAATGAGAGAGAAAGTGAGATAAAAAGACACGCAGAGAGAGAGAGAGCGAGAGAGAGAGATAGAGAGAGAAAGAGAACGAGAGAGAGAGAAAGAGAGACACGATAGCAAGAGAGAGAGAGAGAGAGAGAGAGAGAAGAGAGAGAGAAAGTGAATTTCTCGTTTCAGAACAAGTAGAGGGGGAGAAAACCCAATGTTTATAGGTGTACACACGCGCGCGTGCGTGTGTGCACCCCGCTCCCCCTACACACACACACCGCGTACCTGTCTTTCTCGTCTGCTCGACCCGGATATCGAACTCTTCCATCTTGATTCCCTTCCACAGCGTGCGTGAGATGAGTGTGTAAGCGGTGAGCATGAGCAGTAGCGGCAGCACGAACAACGCCACATCCAGGAACAAGCTGAAAATCAGCTCACCGGGCGTATCTCGTGGCCAGAACTCGCGGCATTTATGCCGCCGCGGACCCCACGGTATGTGCTTCGTCACGACAGCAATCGGAAAGGTCACAGCCAGCGCTAGCAGCCAGACGACAGCAATCGTCTTGTAGGCGTGCGATAACGTCTGCCAGCTGCGTGAGCGTAGAGGGTGGCAGATGGCAAAGTATCGCTCCAGCGAGATGGAGACGAGTGTGAAGGCACTCACAGCTACGGACACGGCTGCAACGAAACGGTGACAACAACGTTAGACATCGTCACGTTATGCTGTATACATGAATTAAAGGATTTATTTCGAAATCGTTGCTCCAAAACGCACAATCTGAAAAAAATATAGCGTAATATAGTCTCACCTCATAGCGGAGATATTACGGATTACACCAACTTGAAAACCACTAAGAATCTATGCTGTTTTAGCATAGCAAATTTGAATTTAACACGCCGTAACACCGTGGCATATATGATTGTAGCGACAATTAATTTGCAAATGGCGTCTTAGTGCACCAACAAGTTACAAGTGCACCCATAGTGCGCCTAATTCGAAACTCCATGTGCGAGAAAACGAAAGAAGAATGACATGGAGGGCCTAGCGAGAAGTTGTTTGTAGATCTACGGGTAAAAACATATCGTTTATCAAGCTATATATATATATATAACATCTATATTTATGTGTGAGACGATGACGATGTCTAGACGACGATGATGTAGATGATGATGATGATGATGATGATGATGATGTAGATGAGGATGTAGATGATGATGTCTATGATGTCTATGATGATGATGATGATGATGATGATGATGATGATGATGATGATGATGATGATGTAGATGAGGATGTAGATGATGATGTCTATGATGATGATGATGATGATGATGATGATGATGATGATGATGTCGATGAAGATGTAGATGATGATGTCTATGATGATGATGATGATGATGATGATGATGATAATGATGTAGATGAGGATGTAGATGATGATGTCTA